TTGTGACTGCGCGCGGGGTGATGTCGACGTCTTGAACGGTTTCGCCGTCATCTGCACCACGAACACACACACACACACACACACACATGTGAATTGACTACAATGCAAAGGGATGCAAAGGGTGACAGTGCACGATGGTGTACAGCAGGAACACAACACGTGACGAAATGCAATGCGATGCAACGCGGTCGCTCACACACCCGCAGTTTCGTGCGCAGTGCACTGCCTGCTGGCTCTTTTGTGGTCTGAGGAGAACAAAACAAGGTGACAAATGCGACCATATGAGACGGTATGAGCAGTGATAACGACATGGCAATGATGGTGTTGGTGGTGTCTGCTGTCATGCTCATGTTCAACATGGGCATATGACGAATAGGAGTACACAGCACATGCCACTGACGCAAACGAGGCAGGGAGGGACACACACAAGCGCGGATGCTACGTACATGCATGATGGTACTGTGGAGGCGGTATGCCGCTGATTGCACGCGCGGGCACCACCGCCGCGTCTCCCTGACACGCACACACACACACACACGCACACACACACACGCACACACACACACACACAGAGGCACGTGCAAACGGCGTGTGGTGTGAGTTGGTGTTTGAGTTCGTGCAAACAAGAGTGTGTGCGTGCGTGTGTGTTGCACAATGTACATGACAATCCTATTGTTGGCAACAACAGGTCAAGAGCCAACGTCTGCCAGTGACTCACAAGCACATGCGTTTGAGAAGCGTGCAGATCTGCGAGCGGACAGGCGTCTTGTGTGCGCGTATCCACGAGCACAAGCGCGTGCTTTGCCGCATCTCATCAAGCAACATCGACCTGACACCCAGATGTGTATGTGTGTGTGTGTGTTGTGTGGATCACATAGTGAGGAAGACAGGACATTTGGGAACGAACACATGTGAACGCCAGCAAGGGGATGAGTCAACGGCACAACGGAACAAGAACAATGACACGTGGTCAATCCCTCAACTTCTCAAACAAGAGCACGACGCACAACAAGACAAAAATCAGCAGAAATGAACAGTGTGTGGCACTCACAACCGCTCGTGGTCTTTCATGGATTCGAGTACACGCAGCCAGTGATTGAACACGTGGATGTTGTCTGTCATTGAGCAAAACACAGCGCATTCAGGTATCAGCTCTTATGTGGTTGCGCACGTTCACGTGTATTCGAATGTAAAATGTGTGCGCGTGCGTGCGTGCGTGCGCGTGCGTCCGTGTGTACATGTGTGCGTGCGTCGTCTCACCCCTTGAGAGTCTGAGTAGCGCTGCTTGCGCTGCGTGTCGCACACAGGCGGGCTGGCGATCACTGTGGAAGTGGGCGGAAACACGGCAGCGATGCAGCGAAGTGAGGTGACATGGGTCGTGTGCCAAACGCACAGATAGACAGATAGACAGATAGACAGACAGACAGACAGACAGACAGGCAGGTAGCCAGCCAGACAGACAGACACACACACATACATACACACACATACAGACACAGACACACACACGATAGCAGCAGCAACGCACGAGTTGAGTTGGTTGAGGAGAGTCAGTGGCGGTTCGATGTAGTGCCAGCGGGCAAACGATGTCAAGGCATCCACACACCTGGGGATGGCACATATTCATGAGCCGTGTGAGGGGACAACTCACGATCACGTGCATGCAAACCGATACGCACACACACAAGTGTATGTATTCAAACCGACATGCACACACACACGCACACACACACGCACACATGCACACATGCACATATGTACGCACCCGACGGTGACGCGTTTCTTGTATGATGCGGACACGTGGTCGTAGCTGATGCAGTGCGCAAACAGCGAAACCGCCCGGCGAACCCATTCCTGCCGCTGAATGCATACATACATACACACACACACACACACACACACACACACACACACACACACACACACACACACACACACACACACACAAGCACGCACGCACGCACGCATTCATGCACATGACACATCAGGGCATCATGCACATGGATGATCGGGGGTGCGCTGCAGACACAAGAATGGCAAGACGTGGACAGCTGTTGCATGGATGTGGATGATTGCGCGTGTGCATGTCTGCATCGCCACGCTCACCTTGGCCTGCTGATCTGCGGGCATATCCTGTGCATTTCGCCTGCGCCAAAACCCGCAAGCGATCGCAACATATGGCACGCACGTGAGAACCAGCAGTGTGCGCGTGCGTGTGTGCGTGTGTGTGTGCGTGTGCGCGTGTGTGCGTGTGTCCGTACCGCTTGTGTGGGCGGAGGGCGTGAGCAAAACACGCGAGCGTGTGGCGTCGAAACGTGGCGTCATCGTACTGCACAGCAGAAGCAACAACAACAACAACAACAGCAGCAGCAGCAGCAGCAGTCATGGATGCAAACAGGTGGTGAATTCAAACGAGATCATGCATGTGAGATCAGCACAGCAGTGGGCAACCATCAGCAATCTTCGCCACCTCCACGCTCACCACCACCACGCTCACCACCACCACGCTCACCACCACGCTCACCACCACGCTCACCACCACCACCACCACCACTGTCACAATCACAAGTTGCCACCACTGCCACGTAGCCTGCACATGCACACCTGGTTCGACCCCTGATCTGTTGCGAGCACGATGGTGTGGAGCATCTCAACAATTTCCAATGGCGGCACTCCGTATGTGTTCTTCAGTCGCGAGAGCGCCGTCAGCGTCGCCTGCAGCAACACCCGTGTATGTACGCATGTGTGTGTGTTGTGTTGTGTTGTGATACAAAGGGTTGTGCATGTGTTTGTGTAAATATATCAACTACAAGTTCTGCACCCATGCACACGCCCAGCACACACCCACACACCCACACCCACCCACACCCACACACACACACACGCACACACACACACACACACACTCACACATGCACAGTTTCTCTCGCAACTGCACCTGCTGCAAGAAGTAGGCGGGAAAGTTGGAAAAGTCGTTCTCGAGCGGCACGAATCCAAAATCGCTCTTTGCGCAGTAATGCCTGCAGGCAATGACGAACACACACATGCAAGTTTGCACGTGCAGCACAACACAGCCGCACAACAGCCCAACAACAGAACGTGAGTCGGGAGTTCAGCAGTTGCGCCCTGCTTCGCCTCCATTGTTGTTGTTGTTGTTGTTGTTGTTGTTGTTGTTGTTGTTGTTGTTGTTGTTGTTGTTGTTGTTGTTGTTGTTGTTGTTGTTGTTGTTGTTGTTGTTGTTGTTGTTGTTGTTGTTGTTGTTCTCACCGCTCGTAAAACGCGCGCAGGGCAGCGACGATGCCGTGTTGATCCTCATCCACATTCTCGCACTGGTGGAGGTGAGGAAATGGAAAAAAATCACAAGGGACGGGGCTGTGAGGTGAAGGGAAACTCGACGCTGGTGGCCAAGTGCACGCGTGCACAGCAAGCAAAAGTATGTCGAATGCATCTTCACAAGTACACACGCAACCAAACAGAACAACCATTCAGAATACACGCACACGACATGACTGCACCACCACCACGTGAATGTGTGGACCTGTGCGAGTGCGAGGACGGCCTGTGTGCGGACGTGGAAGTAGAGCTGCTCATTCTCGGCGGCGTCAAGCAGCGTGAACACAACACTCCGGTGGCCAACGTGCTTGCCCATCGCTTTGATTGCCTGCAGGGTGTGTGTGTGTGTGTGCGTTTGAGGAGGTGGGTATGAGGAGGATGTTTGAATGGAAGCGCATGTATGCATGTCACATGCACGTGGTAAGGTGGCAACGCCCAACAGACAAACAAACATACAAACACACACACACACACACACACACACACACACACACACACACACACACACACACACACACACAAGAGGCACACATTGGTGAGCGCATAGGGAAATAAAGTAAGATCATTTTGCTATCGGCGGTGAGCGATGTTAGCACACGCTGCAAGCGCTTGTCGGTCGAGCCTGGCCTGGTATCCCCATGCCCAGTGCTCCTGCTCAACGGTGATGGACGCCAGCAGCTTCGAGTCGTGGTCGAGCGTTGTAATTCCTTCCAGCCGCACACGCTTGATTTCAAACGTGTCGATGCGCTGCACACAAATCTCCAACTCCTCCTGCAAACATGTGTGTGTGTGTGAATGGTTGAGGACGGAGATACGAGCACGAGCGATCAGTTGTCGCTGTTTTCACATGCAGCTGGGAGACAAGACCGTGCTTCCCTTCAGATAGTGACACAGGCACAAACACAGACTGACAGAATGACAGGCACACACATATATATATATACACATACACACACACACACACACACACACACAAGCAGGCACACACACCCACACCAACGGACCATGTACACGACGCCGTACTCCTGCTTGATGACAACAGCGAGACTATTCTCCTGTTGGGAAAAACTGTACCAGCAGCGCAGACGAGCAAGGTCGCGCTGCTCACTGATGGTACACACACACACACACACACACACACGCACACACACGCACACACACCCACACACGTATAAAATGTGAGATGTGAGGAGAGTCATTGACGATGTGTCTGAGGAGGAATAATGACAAGGCGATGAGCTGGCCAAACAACGAACACTGCACATCAGTGAGGGAGGGTGGCGCGTACATCCACGTCGCCATGAACGTTCCCAGGTCGATGTTGCACAGCTTCTTCACGAGGTCCAGGAACTGGCACGTGCGAGCGAGCGGGCAGTGGTGCATGAGAGAGAGAGAGAGACAATAGAATTTGGAGCACACACCATCGTGCCACGTGAAACAAAACAACGCGCGAGAGCAAACAGCGACATCACACAACACAGCACCGCAAGTGCTCACACTCTTCACCATCACCACCACCACCACGACCACTCATCGTGTGTCACGTACAGCGCGATGGGCGATGAGATGCGAGTGTGCGGTTTTGCCGAGCGGCGCTTGCTCGATCAGATGTTTGAGGGCCTGACACGTGAAGCAAACATGCAGAGAGAGACACACACATGTGTACG